ATATTTTGATAATGTAAATATACTGCATTCAAAAAAGGGATGTCACGATCAGACTCCTTATTATAAAAAAACAAAAACTGTTAAGTTTTGTTAAATCGATTCGTCTCAAATCGATAGAATGGAAAGACATTATTGTCATTATCGTAAGGAAGATTAGTTATTATCCTTAAGATTCGATAAAATCCGAATGACTCTTATGCCATCATAATCGATTTGTAGGTGTCTGGAAGGGGTTTTCATTATCCCATAACTTATAAGACGTTTGGTTACATGAGAAGTATCATCGGTGCCCATCAAGCCACCCAGTACGTTCTTAAACTGAATTTCGGCGCGGTGGTCGCAATTAGGCGCGATAAATGCCCCCGACATACGATACCGGCTTTTCATTCGATTAATCGGTCGAAACGAATACGGAATCCGATTTTAACAAGTCGTTCCTTTTCGTTTTTTGTGCAGCGCTTCTTGCGATATTTTGATACTTAGTTTGTACTTTTATGAACTTTAAATTTTAAATCTCGATGGTTTCACTTTTGATTGCGGTTACTTTTTGTACAACGATACTTCACTAATAGTACCTAGTACTGCTGTGAAGTAAGTTGTTCTAAGTTCAACGTTCTAGGCTTCTCTCTCATTTCCTGATGGACTTCTAAGAAATCTTAGATTAATTGGTGTTATTGAAACCCCTATGTTTTTTTAACACGTATAACTCTTAAATTAGTTAACAGCGTGTACCACAAGTGTTTTCTGTATTGACTCAGCCCGCATAAGTAAGAAGTCAGCCACATATCAATATTATTTTGACATCGAATGCTTTTTTGATCATTACTCAATTACCTTGTTAAATTTTATGTCTTACTCTCAATATTCGAATGTAACGAGGGTCATATGCGTGACATTAATATTAGTTGATTGTGGTTTGTAATATAAATTGAACTACGTTTATTTTATGGCGCTTAGATTGTTATTTCGTGTAAGAGAATGTAATAAGCATGTAAGAAGTTACGACACGTCACGTGCGCGACACATGTTCCTATAATATCAGAATATAATTAGTATAATTTGAACAATTCTAAGACAGGTCACAATGAGTCAACTCCACCCTTTTTAAATCTACCGAAGCAGTCGACTGGGTGTCAAAAGAGAACAAGTCCGTAACGATCCATAAAACAATACAAAAACTAAACCATTACAAGGCGACAAAACTGTAATATCAATAGAACACAATGGGAACAATAGTTGCTCTCTGTCAATTATGCCATCATTACCATTGGAATAAACGACGTAACGGATCAGATGATTGTCAAAAACAACATGATGACAACGCAATGCGGCCACGACTGCATATCGCAAAGGGTACAAACAAAAACAGTTCTTATTAACAAATAAATAAAATATCTAATTCTTTTCCAAAAACTAACGATGATCTTGCATATTTTAAAATGTCGAAACAGTTACCCTATAAATGATTTATAGGCCGCGGCGCCGTCTTAATTTTTGTCACTTAACAATGTACAATGAATCTGAATAATTAAATGTCTCTAATAAGCTTCGTTGTACTTTGTAATTAGGTGATTACGAAATTAGGAAGATGGTGTAGATAAGCTTGTTTTACTGGCTACTATTACTAGTTAAAGTTTTGCCATTTGCATCAAAACCGGGTATGATTATCCAAATGTGATTATGTTGTTCCGTCTACTTACTGCAGTAGCATATGACTTGCAAGTCGCAAAACTACCGTGGATCGTCTAGAGAAAGTCACAATAGTCATTTGGTGTTGGTGTCGTGATAAGCAGCTACAAGCTCTTTCTTGTTCCCTCGTAAATTCTATTTGGTATCGGTACAGATTTGTTCCCTGAACATTTCATTGAAATTTAATACTCGAACTTTACGTGACTCACCCAAAACGTTTCAATTTTGCGAAATGTCTACATGCTTTTGTGTCTCTGTTCAGTATTGTGTTGATGTTGTTCAATTTGTATCTTGTGTTTAGCTTCCTTTATTGACTTGAAAGAACTATGTAAGTTCTATTAAACTTTGAGTGTACATCATTACTTAACATATTCTGATCACTATCTTGGAGGCTGTTGCGCTATTTGAATTCTTATTATTTATTGTTAAGGTTGAATGTTTGTTGAGCGTTCATTGGAATATTGTGTTTGCGATTTATTTGATCCTCGCATTTGTCAAATATGATCGAAGCGTGCGAAGGTGTTATTCGTTTTGTCGACACGCGATCGTTGCGATAAGTCCAGAGCTTGCCACTTGTAATTTGATGGGAGGTCCTCGCGCTTTAACCTTTTATTTTTTGTTTTACACTCGTACTGGTATACGTTGTGGTCTGTTTTTTATTATAAATTGATTTGAGCGATTTTAAATCTCGTTTGCAAACACTCAGGCAGTGGGAATATGTTGGAATTCATTTAAGATGTTGTTAGTTTTTGGGTAACCGAGGCAGCATTAATTAATAAATCAAGAAGCATGGGAACTGTGGCACAGGTGCCAAGGGATTGGACATATTTCATATCAATTTGGTTATATAAAGAGATAAAGATCTTGCATGTTTTACTTTAAGATATGCTTATCTTCAAATGAATACATCTCAATACCGTCACATCTCTGCAGGTGGTAATCCTCCCCCTCCGTGTTTGCAAATCTACGTAGACATGTTGTACGTCGTAAAAATGACATTCTTACATTTATTGCGTTGTAGGACACGTGTAAGTAATGTCTTGTCGTGTCGTATGGTTTTTGTCAGCGGGCAATCGGCGATTTATTGAATCGCATTGTTGATTATTTTATTAACGACTTCTTTCGATTGCGTGAACGTTATTCGTAATCACAGCTTGAATCACGATGCCACATTGTGCCACATGTTTCTCTGTTGAGAGGCTTGACGAAGCAATGTTTATCACAATGTATAAATAGAAGATTTTTTACTTATGACTAAGTTTTACTAATTTAAAAACTACAATATGTACCTAATAATTCGGTAGATGTAGACGTTTTAAAAGAACTCTAATTTTCATGAAACCTATGCGTTGTGTTGACATACCTGTCAGACCATCAATATCATAACTGTAGGGTCTCGTTGTTTTTTATATTCTATCAAGTAATTAATTAGTCTATTCTACCGGTGCAATAGCCTTTATTTTTTGACAGGGAGACCTAAAATATTGAAACGGTGGTAGAATCTTATTTGTAGACCACACAGCAATGTAATAACGATTCGACAGTTACTAAAATAAAATGTCATATTTAAATACGCGTTTATAAATATTGTATTTTGTTGACGTTAATCGAAGGTAGAGCCAATAATGTAACTGCGTATCGATGCATGCAAAACCAACTTGTGATTGAGAGTTACGATTGTCATTAATATTGTAATGAAATCGATTTATGATCGGGTATCATCTCATCGATTTTATTGCGCGGTCTGCGGTACTGCATTTAATTCTAAATACTACGTCCGAAGGTAACCTTATTATAGAACGCTAATTCGCAATTATTTTTGCGATGTGTATGCTTGTTATCGATTTGTTTTATCGTTATTGATTTAAATGTTATGTTTTGTTCCTTCATTCGCCTCGACTAATGAGCGTCTAAATAAAAAGGTCGCCATCTTTTGCCGTTACCCTTTCAAAGCCCTCATTATTGCTTCGTCACAGGGCAGTAAAATCAAATTGCGTTGTTTTTCGAGTACATATATGGAGTCAAGGTTTAATTTTGTGTGCCACCGCATTTTTTACATTGATATTCGCGGTTTCAATAAACTCCTTTGTCCAGACTGCGTTTTATTTGTTCCGGTGCTTTAATGTTAATTGAAAATCGTGGTAAGTGCACCCGATGAGGTCGCGGTTGTTATTGTCGAACCTCCATTTATGTTGAACCGGCAAATATTCATCTGTGTTATTTTCTCCTGTATTTAACAATAATATACCTATTAAATTTACATAAACATGTAGATCAATTTTATTACCAAGAAAATAGTCGCTGATATAAAGTCAAATTAATCTAACTTACCTGAATATGTTAATTTAATTCTGTACTAACTTGGTAATCCATCCAACATATTCGCCATTCATTGCCTGTATTTACATTTATATGAAAGTAATTGTCAGATTGTTAAGCAATTAATTAATTGCACGATTGCTTCTCGTTACTTACTTCGTTTTAAAGAAGATGTTCGTGAAATATTTCGGCTTTCACATGTCACCGATTAATTTTAATCGATCACATAAAATGTTTTTAATCAAGGAACGATATTTAATATTTATGCGTGTTTCTCCGTATCATAACTACGTGGATTTATTTAAATTGCTGTCCGTTAATTTATAAAGGCCACCGGCGAATCCAAATTGAAAATTAACCCCATTTAGACACACCTCCTGGCGCTCACTTTTTTACAATCTTTTTACATCATGTCAACACCGTCGATAAATTATTACCACTCTAACAAGCTATTATTATCGACCCTGACATTTTATTTAACGTAATTTTTGGGCAAAATTGAAAATTTTCACCCAAAATTTTTTGGCCTGCGGTGCAACAGGAATGGGTTTTAAGATTTATGTTCAACGATTTTAGTATTATTTAAAATTCTAATTCATTGTTTAAACTGTCGATATAAAATCTTATCGATTTCTGGGAATGGTTAAATGTTTTGGTTATCTGGTTCAATATAAGTTAAACGCTGACGTTTTCATATGATTAGCATATTAATTTTAGATTTTAACCTGTGTCGTATGTCGAAAAGTCTCCAAAGTGGATCGTGTCAGGTGGCCCTCATTGGGCATAGTTCATTGACACCGGTCAGGTAGGGCCAGCAAATGATTGATCTGCTCCCTTATCACACGCCGTCGCCTACGTGCGGCTTTCTCAAAGACACATTGTCTACGACCATAGAAGCGTGAGCTAATACCAATACAACTTTACCCAAAACTCAATCAAACACATCATTAACTTAATTTAGTCTCTATAAATATTTCTTTTATTTGTTACAGAAGGTCCAAGCGTGGAACAAGGAGATTAAAGAAATGTAAGTCTTTTTTTCTACGAGCCTTTGACGTATTCAAATGTCCCGTAAAGATAATTTATTTATTAGTGAAAGTGTGGACAGCACAAATGAAATAAATATTGGTAATTAGCGTCAGTACCAGAGTAGGGATCAATTTCACGGATATCATATTACTTTTTCAATTCACATTTGAATGCGATCCTTAATGATATGTAAATAAGACTGAGTATCACATTCGTGTAGTGCTTGGCGCCATCTGGATGTAGTGGACGTTTTGTAAATTGAAAAACCGACAGTTTACAGTAAGAGGCTCCTATCAGGACCCCTTCATCGTAATGATGATGAGATAATTAAATTTTCAATGAGAATTAATTGATTGGACATAGGTATACATTAGTCCGTACATATATTTGTAGTTAAAGTATTCTAGACATCTTATGACTCTTACGTAAGGAAGGTCGAGCTGAAAAGGTGTTATTATATTCTTTCATTTTAATGATTGATTTCAGCTGAAGGTTGATAATTCAGAGTGTTTTATTGTTTAAAGAAAAACTTGTTAAAACGCCATAATTATGCAAATGTTTGCCGACGTGCAGTAGGTAGGCCGGCGCCGCAACTAATTTAGAAAGTTATTTTTGTATTTAAACTGTTGCGTTGAACGTTTTTCTTCAAGTTATTTATTTAACGCCGACGGGTACACAGTTTTCTGTAATTGGACACTATTTGGGTTTACTCCTACGTATCAATCCGTCATAATTTCATGTTGCACTCAGGTATCACATACATACTTATTAAGATAAATATTTTTTTATTTGCAGATGGGACATTCCAGCTCTACTTGAGAAAGTTCCAAAATTGGGAGCAGTCATTGATTTGACTAACACAGCTCGATATTATGATCCTTCGGTAAGTAATGATGATTGCAGACAAGCCTCCAAACAAAACTCGGAGACTCTTGAAAAGCGCTTAGTAATAAGCAAAGAAATACTCACTTTCGCACATACCGCATACCAAACCCGACATCTTAGTTCAATAAACATTCCTCGGTGGGTCGTTAATAATAATGAAAGGTAACAAGCACTCTGTACTAACAAGTAAGACAACGTGTAGTGCTTGTAACGACTCTTACTTGCTCGGATAGCGCCTGTAGGAATCTCGGCCCGCCCGCCATGTGTTACAATACCGGGAAGCTATAAAATTATGTTCAGTTTTACGATTGAAAGTCACATTTTCCAGTACGATGCTTTGTTCGTTCTTACGTCTGATTGCCTTGCATTCATCTTCTAGCATAATCCGATCGTAAAACATGGTTTCCATGGAGCAGTTGACTTTAGCCTGTTATGCTCTAACTCAACATACTGCACACACAAGACTGAGGCGTTACCAGGTCTTTATATTCTCTAATTTATAGTTACACTGTACCTTACATACTGCAGGTGTTAATTGAGCGATGATAAGTTTGACGAGGTTTTGCAAATACAATATATTCAGTTAGCTTCAAAACAAAGATGTTAAACAAGCTTGCTAGGTGGTGACCACAGAAAACTTAATTGAAGGTCTCTCAGCTGTCATTCAAATTATTACATTCTGTTCTTTGACTGCGTCTTATTACCTTACGAACAGTTGGATTAATTTTAATGTTGCGTAGTTTTAAAATGTTTGATATGATTCCGATCCTAGACGACTTATAGAAATATAGTGCAAAATAGCTTCTAGCTAGGCCAACAATAAATTATCTACTAAATGAGTAACAAGCTACGAACATCAGAGAGACCAGCCTGGAGGTTGGGACGGTAAATTCTATGAAGAATGTCCATTGGATAGCTGTGAAACAGCAAAGCTAGTTGTGACACAACTGTGACTTGTTGGCCCATTATTCACACTTCAACACTCGTAATAAACGTTTAGGGTTCTCCTGATACATTCGTCGCCATTGTGATGTCCCATGGTGCTTTGCTAATGTGTATGACGTGTGGGCCCCGTTATTCCTCTGTCGGGTGTGAAATTTTGCTGCTTTCCTGAAGATGTGAAGTGTATGAGCGAAGTTCGAAGTTGAAGTCAAAGGGCAGACGGTATTTTAATTTTGTTTTTATTGGATGCTTTATGTTTAATGGTTGTTATGAATGTGTATTGAGGTGTGAATGGAAATGTCGCTTGTTTACCGCTGCTTTCGGAGCGATTACGCAGAATATTTTTGTTATTGATAATTATTGGTGGATAATTGTTTGGTAACTGCAAATAGTTCTAATATTAACCAATTTAATTAAAAAATGGTTTACTCACGCAAATAACTGAGAAAAACTCCCATCACAATTTTTGGTTTAAGTTTTTTTTATAAGTCTATTGTTATTTAGTTTTCAATTCAAATGTTACAGTGTAACCAGTTTTCTCACGGTTCATTTTCCATCTAAATAAGATTTAGACGTTGATGTAGTATAAATCATTTTTTAGCTTTTGGGGACTTTAGAAGTAGACTATGTAATTACATTACGTTAAAGTGTCGAAGGCTTGCCGCATACATAGGCATACAAATCATGCAGTTGATTGAAAGAGGCAGGTTAGTAAACGCGCCGTCCCTTTGGGGCATAAGACTACAACACTTTAACACTAACGGACTTGACAGATACGATACCAGTCATATAGAAGTAGGTGAAGCTGCGAATTACTGATCAGAATTTGAACAACAACGTACCTTGAGGAAATTGGTGGATTTCGAAGGAAATATTTTAAAGAGGTTCAGGTGTTCATAAAGTTAAATCGATATTTAATGTCGGATAAGTAAAAGCAGCGGTTAAGCTTATAATAGAAACCGGAGTATGTAGCCTGGACGTTTAAGGTTGGAAGACTAATTATTTTAGTAAGTGCGCGAGGCTGTGGCGATATAGTCACATCAAAAAAAAATCGTTTGTTATTCTACGAACAATGACTAGCAAAAAGGATGTTAGCACATACAACAATATAAATGCGATCCCAATACAAGACTTCTGTAATTGTCATCATATGATACATGATAAATCGCTCAACGATGTCAACGAACTCATCATTTCATTTCGATGATGTTCTTATTTAAACAACTTATTCGCTCTATGTCCGATTTATTAAGAAGTTTTAAATAAGCTATTAATTAAGCCGAAGTAAAGTTGACTGGCTTATATTTCGACACCTCTCTAATCTGATAGGTAATTGTCATCAGTTGACGTCTAGTGACTTGTCGCTCACTTCATTATTATTGTGGCACGGATTAGTAAAATCAATGGAGTGTTCATACTTGTTCTTGTACTGCCCAGATTTTTTATTTAGTTGATCAGACTGATTGGTTACTTATGTTTGTAAAATATGCTGTGCATAACTGAGTAATTTGTCATGCACTGGGTAAAACGATTGTGTATAAACCCTATAATTCACAATCATTATAATCACAATTAATTTTTATCTGTACATGGACGCTGTCTCCCTCCTAAAAAAAACCTGTCCACTTGTTAGTACTTCATTTATTATCTCCTCCGTGTATTGTATAAGATCGACTGTTCCATGCTCTACTTACATTCTATAATCTCATTATCAAACGCGTATCTTTAATAACACGATCATTTGGAACCGGCTTAAAACTAATGTGTACTTACTTAACATTTCATTCCAATACTTGTTACTCGAGGTTTGGCGGCCCATTTGTTCTGAGTCGAATTTACGAGTTATTTGATTTTATTGAATTTAATAAAATGTGTATGAACAATAACTGTAACTTCTTGTGTCAAACATACGTAACGCCACAAGCAACAAATGCTGTACTATTCAGATATAATTATTGGTTTCTTTGTTATAGGAATTACAAGCAGCGGGTATACTACACAAGAAAATTTTAATGCCAGGCCGAATAATACCTCCCGAGGGCAAAGTGACAGAGTAAGTCCATCTTCCCCGACGCTGTTTACGTGCGATTAATCGCGCTCGTGTAAGACGTCTTCACGACCGACGCCAAGCCTTTTTAGCTCGCCCAAGTAGAAGATGTATCTCACACATACACATACGTTCTCCAGACGTAATCTTTATCACATAAACCTTTGAAAGTCAGGCATTGAGAAGTGACGTATTATTTGTTGTGTTAATATCGAACCGCCACAATATTTCACGCTGAAATATTGTACAGATTGCGGCGTACTGAGTATCGACATTCTTTAAAGGCACTGAAACCATCGCCCGTTTTAAATGATGGCAGCCATAAAACGTAAAAAAATCCACAGAACAGTAAAGACTCGTGATTGATATTGACTTAATTCAACGACATTTAGCCTAAAGATGATACGTCTTAACAAGTTTACACTCCCCTTATACGGTGGTGCGTAAATCAGAAACGGAACAGCTATCTATCAAAGCGCGAAGTTTTCGTTTTGCATTCGCGGCGGATTTTAATTTGAAGCGTCGAATTGGCGCCATTCGTAGGCCGAATATGGGTAATGTTATAAATCTACGCGTATGCGTGGGCGGTGCGGCGCGCGCGCCTTAGGGCCGCCGTCGAGCCGACCGGTGCCGGTAGAGGTAGGTACCTATTCTCGTATTCAATTGAACTTGGTCACATCTAGCGCTTGTGTCGATGGCGTCTGCCTCCCACGCGGGATCCGATGCCTTTCGGAATTTGAAAGGCATTTGTCGCAGCAACGATGCGTGCCGGCTCACGTGTAGCAGTTGTCCCCTGCAACTAAAACACACGGCGTTTTATTATGTCGTAAACTTTGACACTATCGAAGAAGTCATATTACATATTTTTGTTAATTGATATGTCTATTAAAATACTAAGTAACTCAATTTTACTGGACCTTATATTATGAAGATAATGTAGGTACTAGCGAGATTCTGAAAATGATAATGTGTAGAGAACACATTACATTTTCCGACTTTTCCAAAGGCAACAGAAAGCAATCAGATCTACTCAAGGAACTTTAAATAAATGTTTAAATCGATATTTGTATAGATTATCTACATGATATATGGCTCTATCGCACTACATATCACTTTGTAAAATGATTTGCTCAGCATTAAATCTTAGATTATCTCGATCATTTGTCTGATCTTTTGTTCGTCGCTGCGGCCCCTCATCGGCTGTCATAGACATAAATAACCATCGGCATTTCTGAGATAGTTCGCTGTTGTTATCACGGTGCGGACCTCGCATCTGTTTGTCAGTTAACATTAGACAAATGCGCCACCCGTACAGCTACTTCGATTTTAACTAAAAGCCACGTCCACTTAATGACAGGTCTATTTGTTTTGAGAATAGGATCCCTTTGATTTATATTTTGCGTTTGGATTTAACAGTGTTATTCTTTAGTAATTAAGTTATTAACATGCATTTTCTAAAGTCAAAATAATGTATGAAACGTGTGAATGTTTAAAACTGCATAGAAAATGAATATTCTAAGTTACCTAAACGTTATAGGAAAATCTATCGCGAACGTGCGAAAAATTTTCGACGTAAATTCCATCTCAGTGCAATTTAGTCTAGACAGGTAATGTCGTCGGGACGAACAAGAAAACTAATAAAATGGCGCTATTATTTTATTATTATAATAAATTGAGGATAAATATATTGTCATGAGACCTTCATTTATACGACCTTTTACTGGATGTAGATGATCAGAGCCGCGCTCGTAATGATGCTCGCGTGCTCACTCGGTTCATTTATCACGGCTGTATTTTTACTTGTTTTCCATGTCGACTGTCGACAATCATGTCGTCATTACAAACCCGTTCGTGTACATATCACCCCGTCTATAAATTGTGAACACCGCCGGTGGTACCGATTGTCCGTTTAATAGATTTTTACTGCTCCGCTTTTAAGGGTTTTATTGTTTTGACGATTTATTCGCTGTTACCGATTCCTCTAAAGCTACGCCCATTACAGGCCTATTTTCCGGGAAGTTGGTGATAAAGTTAATGTTTCACTCGACAAAACAATCGTATCGATAAACAATCGTGTCCTATCGTCATTTATGTATTTTACTATCTCAAAAAATGCATACGATGAAATACGAGATATGATACACCCACGGCTAAAGTCATCGCTTGGTCCAATATTGGTACATCAGATTCTATGTCATCCACACTTGTTAAATCCGCTTCTGAGCTTTTTTCGCCTTTGTTTTTTATTTGTGATAATATTAGCGCATGATTGAGACTTATAACGAGACAATTTAACAAAGTATTAAGTCATTTTTTTATTTTTAGTCGGTTCAATCATGGTCGGGAAAACCGAAAGAATGTATAGACTTTGAACCTGGCGTCTATTAGGCGGCCAAGTGCTGTGACATCAATCGTAGATAGTTTGCATACATAGTAATCAAATATTGTTCGACACGTGTGCAAAAAGTTAACTTGACGTAATCGCGGTGGGAAGCTTTTGGCGTTTCTTGTAATCTGGAATTGTTTTAGACTGTTTCACTGGGTAAATGTTCTATAATGACAGTTACCTCGATAAAGTATGTCCACGTACGTTTGTAACGAGCTGTGAACTCGTTTATCGCACTAAAGGTGTTAAAAGTAAATTCTCACGTTGTTGACTGTTTGTCCAGTAAGAGTCTAGTGTAAATCAGAGTAAGATAGGAGACTTCCGAGCGTGATAACAAACACATAAATATAGAGACCGCCAGCCATTGTCCAAATTTACTGTCACCAACCCATTCTACTAACACCGAACGGTTATTTTTCTCTAACCGTTCGACGATAATATGCTGTTGAACATTGAATTATTCGAGTTTTGATCAATTGAAATAGTTTTAATTATATTAAGGTGTTTCGATAGCCGTCTTTCTTATTATTGACTTTTGTGAAATGTTATCAGTGCGGAGTTTTTTTGTCAAAACAGACTCATGCGTTCGTTTTGAGTTCTTTGCATAGCTTTTTCAGGTCTCAGAATGACGTAGTGAAGTTATAAACTAAGTAAACATAAATTATATCATATAATTTATATTTGTATCATCAGTGTACATTTTAATATGTAGGTTCTCCCCCCAAGCGTACGGCGCGTCGCGGCGTGTTCCGCGCGCACCTCAAAGATCCATCTGACCTCCATGGATGGGGCCCAATAGGGCTGATGCCGATATGGAGCTGCGGAGGACTTAACGGGTTGCCGACGTTCCGGCTCTAAGGGCAGGAGTAGGAACGGGGTGGTTTTTAGTCAGTAAGAGACACTACCTACCGCCTCACTCAGGCGGGAGAAGCAATTCGATGATTTCCCCCCCTTAAAATAGGTTCTCCCACCGAACAATATTTTCTCCCTATATCAATATTAACTTTCATATTTATTACGCTATTCATAACTTGCTCAACTATAATAACATGAATTCAATACAATGATGAAACGAATTGCCGATTTTCTATAATGTCCATAATAATGCTAATAACTTGTCTATTACAAGTTGGTTGAGCGTAATAGCTGCTCTAAATATCGACAATGTTGTTGTATTTTTTATTACAGACTATATATAATCATTTGGACCACACAGGTCGGGTGTAATTGAGACATTGTATATATTATTATATAGTTGTCCTGTTATTATACCTAGTTTTATACACCAGTTACGAAAGTTCGTGGTTGCATCGTTCTCAGAGTTAATTAAACGCTTACGAAACCGAGTACATGATTTGATTAGAACGTGCCCTTGTTTTAATACAAGTAATTATTTTCTGGTCTCACCGAGTAATGATGACAAGTTTGATGTATTTGAGCGACATTTTGTAGATTAGAATATTCGTTATACGAAGCTGAACAAATGTATAGACGCAAAGTGTTCTGTTTCCGATTATTATGTAATTAGTTTGATAACTGTCGCGGAGATATTTAATATATCATCGTCCTTGTTTATTTGTTTATTCTGCAAGTAATTAGTAAGTAAGATTATCTTTTTATATTCTATAGTTTGTCATATCTATATTTATCAGCTTACTCAATATTTTCGAAGCCTTAAATCCTTCAGCCAAGGCTTTCCCTAAATCCAGGACATAAATTAGAACTTTATACAGATACGACATTCATTCTTATAATGGCAGATTAGGTAAGCGTTAGCAATATAAATCATCTCAGACTTGTACATTATTTGTAACAAAACATTTGGTTCATTTAATACATAGTTCGCAAGCATTTGCCACTTTGATTAACATAACAATGGCTGGAACATCATCATTATTTTAACCGATTACCGCTTCTTATAAAAATTTCGTGTAATAAACAAATGACAATACAGTATCTATGATTCACTCAGTTTATCTCGTATACTGTGAATAAAATATTATCCCAATCTAAAACATAACGAATGATCTCATCATTAAGAATTAAATTTGAATGATAAAGACATGAGTGTACCAATATAATTATTGCACTAATTACACAGTCAAACTTCACAGGAATTTTGATGATTATGGTTGTATTCTGTGGAATAATTAATTCGTTAGTCACGTGTGTATATTATGGTCAATGTATTGAGTAAAATGAACATAATACGGTAGTTTTATGTGTCATTGGCGCCGTTCCTAATGATCCTGCTAATTAATTTGCACACCCTACATCTTTAATTGGTGACGAATCGCATTGTTGCGGTTAAATAACTATTACACCGTATTACCATATAAGGATGGCCGGATTTTAGCATTCTTATATTTGGTTTATAGTTTTATTGTTGTATTTTTCTTGTCATTGGTCCTATAAAGTATTTGTTTGGTTTTTGTTATTATAAATCCTCTTTTATGTTGAGCTAGCACTTGTGTTTTTATTGTTTGGTTCTTTTTAGCGTGCTTGATTTGGGTTTGTGTGTAGTTTATTTATAACTCTAGGTAGATACTTATTTAATAACTCTAGTCAATAGCACTAGAAAGACGTAGGTTAAATTTTCAGTTCTATGTACTGATACTGA